AGCCAGTTGGCACCCGATGTCTGAGCTGCAGTCCTTAAATCTGTCCCCTCACCGCTGATGGAAGGAATCTGTGCTCTATTAAAAGCATTCTTTAAACACCAGAGAATGCTAAGTGTGTTTAAAATATAAAAAAATCAACCAGAAAATGCATTCCCCCCTCTTTAAAGTTGTCATCTTTACATGTATCCGTGGTGTTGGGCACCAGCTGGGAAGAGAAGTCTTAAAATATCACGAGCAAGGCCATCTCTGCAGAAGGAGAGACTCCCAAGGCCAACAAGACTCTCTCTTCTCCAATCTTTTGCATCCTCGAAAAACTTAAGTGAATTGGTTAAAATCTCCCCCACCTATTTCTGCTGTCTCTCATTTCCCCCCTTTACAATCCATAGTGCATGTGATTTCCAGAAAGTCGTCCTTACTCAAATACAGCTGGTAGCTTGGAGCCCATCTAACTCTGCTCAAGAACCACTGGCTGGCTGGGCCTCTGTGCCGCCCTCAGGCTCTGCCCTCTGCCTGGATTGCTGTCCCCAGCTCAGCCCGGATTACGGTGATTTAAGGTTGAAGCTCAGCACGGGCAAGGTCTACTCCAAGAAGCCCCTGAAGTCTCCTTCCCATGCCCACTCCTGTGTCTCTCATAACAGATCCCGGCCCTGCGACCATCTGCTTCTTGAGGCTACGGCCGTGTCTCTTTCACTTTCCTTGGTGCCGAGAAGTTAGCTCAGAAGAGACCGTCAGTGACGTGTTGGTGGTCTGAATGGTCCCACCGTCCGTTGAATTCAGCCTTCCCTGGTCATCTCAACTGCAAGCACATCGTCTGTGACTCACCACGTGGGCCCTCTCTGGTCCGGCCACACAGCTCACTCCTACACACCTCACGCGCTTTCCCCCAACTCGGCTGGACCATTTTGCCCTCTTGGAAAGCCTTCCCTGCTATTTCTAAGTGTTGCCGATTCACGTCCACCACCTGCCGCGAGCTGGGCTCAAAACGGTCTCCAGGAGGCCGTCGTGAATTAACTTAGCTCACTGACGCTGCCGTCCTGTAGGTACCCAGGTTTCCATTTTTACCAAAGACGTCAGGAGGGTTGCCAATTATGGCAGACAGACTGATTTTCAGGGGCTGGTGGCTACCTCTCTCCTGGGTCCCTACCACACTTGGGGGTCTCCAGAGGAGGAGAAGGCCAGAACCTTCCTTAGCCCAGAGAATGAGTGACTGGGGTGTCCCCACTCTCGCTGTGAGACAAGATGTGACAGCAAGTACCTTTCTCCTTAGAATGGAGTATGCCGGGAGTTAGAGCCTTGAACTCTGAAAGAGTAATAATTCCCTACAATAGGGTATTGGTTTACGTTTGTTAAGAAAACATTGTGTACTCGTTTTCAAGTTTCCTTTCCAAAGTGTGTGTTTTCAGCCCCAAGTAGACCACAAGCAGAGACTGTGCCTCATTCATCACTGTCCCCATCCTGTACTTAGCACAGAGCTCCAATCCTATCAGGTAATCAATAAACGCTTGTTACCTAACTAAAGGCAAATTAAATGCTAAACAGCACTAATTACAAGCTGTTGCAAGATCCTGGCGCTCAGCAAAGAGAACTACTTGTGATTGTCAAGGGTTTGCTAGTTGCCCAGGTGTATGAAACATGAAATTGTTATTTTCTAACTGCTTCTTTGTTCCAGAGGGCGGGCCGTTCTTCTCAGATTGCTGCAATAAAATATCCGGAGGGCAGGGCAGGATTCATTAAAATTCTAAACGCCAGTATTCTACACTATGGAATCTTGTTCAGGGGTAAGACAAGTGGATTTTGATTCCTGTTTTCAAGAATGGAGACAACCAGTAACTGTTAAGGGAAATGAAGAGCTTCCTCATTTATTGGCACATGAAGGGGGAGCTGCTACTCCTAGCCTGTGTAGTCTCTCCACGGACGATCCTAAAATAGGCACAAAAATGGCCCCCTGTTTACAAACGATAATCGATTATTTGTAGAGACAGTGCAATTTAGTTGCTGGCTGACTGAACTAAAATGAGCAGCTGCGACACGTGTCAAGGTAAATATCTGAGAGAGAAAGACCTATTTTAGTAGAGAAAAAATAACCACAGTGGCTTTTCCAAAAGAGCTACTTATACCTCATTTCTTCTTATTTAATTTTATTTTCGCCTAAGGATTGCTCAGGAGATTCTGGTCTTCATTTTATGAGGCCACCAGAAGCACAGCAGTCAGGGAAGTCTTCCTAGCAGATTTCCCAGGGATATTCTCCGCTTCCCTTCAGATGCATTATGTATCCCATGTCACGCACTGGCTCTTCCCTCCTTCTTTATGAACAGACGAGGTGGAAACGTCTGAGGGGTTAAGCAGTTCCTGCTGCTTATTTCTCCACATGAAAGCATAACTTCCATTTATAACATCATTGTTGATTACCGTGACATAATTACAGGCTTGATCTTATAGCCTTGTCTCCTAGGTGTACTGAATTGTGGTGAAAATGTAGCCATGAGTACTCAGAACCCACAGAGCAGACAGAGCTCACCATGATCCCGAGTTTCTTCGTAATCACTGAGGGAATGAGTTGTTTGCTGGCTGCCGCAGGCGTAAAAGTATTTCCCTCATCTTTCCATGGTTTGCTTCTCCAGATTATCCTCAAAGGTTTTGAGCAGCAGGTTCCTACAGTGGGTTGTGTCGTCGAGGCTGAAACAATTTCTTGCGCAGTGTTTCTGGTTTCCGTGGTACTGCAGGGTATCTTGGACAAGGTGATGGGTTCAGCCCTGCTGGAAGCAGACCCACTTCAGGGCATCTAAGGGAGTGTTCTTTGGAAGGCGTGGCCAAGGAGGAAAACTATCTCCCACAGCATCCCCCTTGGAGCCACCGTCACATTATAGAACTCGGGTCTGTTTGATCAGAGAGCAAACCTAATCTAATAGACTTTATGGGCTTTTATTGGGACAATAAAAAAGTAAACACTTTGGAGTGAAGATGAAAGAAAGAAAGAAAGAGAGAGAAAGAAAGAAAGAAAGAAAAGAAGGAAAAAAGGAAGGAAGGAAAAAAGAAAGGAAGGAAGGAAGAAAAAAAGAAAGAAAAGAAGGAAAAAAGAAAGGAAGGAAGGAAAAAAGAAAGGAAGGAAGAAAGAAAGAAAAAGAAAAAGAAAGAAAGAATAAAAGAGTCCTAGGACAAAACCTCATGACAGACTGATTTAATCAGATGTTTAAATACATGGAAAAAATCATCCTTCTCTTGCAGGAAATAAGCAAGGATTCTGAGTTTCAAGGATTTTGAGCCAATTCTAGGCTATGTTGACCCAATCATATACCACTTATGCTTTACTGTTGAGTTCAGATCCGTCCAAAAGACATTTATTAAGTCCCATGTTTGCTCACACAGCCAACTATTAGCATTTTCCCCCTACAATTTTCCCTCGGAAAAGAGTGTTACTAAAAACTAGAATCTTTACAAAGACTCTAATGTAGCAGCTTATCTCAGTTAACTTTATTTTGAACAACAAATCACCTCAACTATTACTGGATTTGAACAAGAGGACACCTGATGGAATTGGAGAGGAGAGAAATTTAACACAGACTTAGTAAATTCCTAATGTGCTATCATTACATTTTTTGGTGTTAGATGTGTTAGGTGTTATTTTAAATAGGCCTTCTAAAGTGAACTTAAAAAATAGATACAGTGAGGGACTTCCTGGTGGTCCAGTGGGTTAAGACTCCACGCTCCCAATGCAGGGGGCCCAGGTTCGATCCCTGGTCGGGGAACTAGATCCTGCAGGCATGCCGCAACTAAAAACATCACCGTGAGATAATCCTGGAGATTACAAACAAATAGCCACAGAATGTTTTTTGTTTTTTTTTAAACAACCGTCCTGGTGTTATGTGAGTAGGTAATTGTGGCTCTCAGAGGAGAAGAGACAATATTTGAAGACATAGCATCTGAGAATTTTCCAAAACTGATGAAAGATATTAAGCCACAGATTCAAGATTTGCTACCCTAGATCCAACAGACACTGTACTGAGAGGATGTTATAAACAATATTATGCCAGTAAATTTGACAATTGAGATGAAGTAGACAAATTCTTTGGAAAACACAACTTACCAAAATAGACACAAGAAGAAAACAGAAAATCTGAGTAGTCTGACAACTAATATAGAACTTGAACAAATTACTAAAAGCCTCCCATGAAGAAAACTCCAGGACCAAATACCTTCACCAGTGAATTTTCCCAAATATTTAAAGAAAACAAACAAACAAACACAAGTATCACACAAAATTCTGAGAGAAATGAAAGAGTGGAAGCACTTTTCAACTTATTCTGTGAGGCCAGTGTCACCTTAATGTTAAAATCTGACAAGGACATTACAAAAAAGGGAAATTACTGGTCAGTCTCTCCTTTGAAAATGACCAAAGATTGGCAAACTTTTTTTTTTTTTTGGCAAAGGGCCATTTTTTTGCAAATGTTTTTTGTAAATATTTCAAGCTTTGTGGGTCACACAATCTCGGTTGCAACTACTGAACTCTTCCACTTACTGCAAGGGCAGCCATAGGCAGCATATAAATTAATGAGCATGGCTGTGAGTGTCCAATAAAACTTTGGGTGTCCAGTAAATAGACAAATATCCTAAACAAACTATTAGCTAATTTAATCCTGTGATGTATATACAAATAATAAGTTATTCCAGGAATTCAAAGTAATTTCAACATTAAAAATTCACCACACTAATAGAAAAAAGGAGAACCACCAAAGGATCATTTCAATAAATGTAGAAAAAAATGTGATAAAATTCAACACTTGTTTAAAATAAAATTTCTTAGTGAACCAGGACTAGAAGGAAACCTTAATCTGTTGTACTTACAAGGAAACAAAACCCTAAAGCCAACAGCTTATTTTATGGTGAAATACTGAAAGCTTAGAAATGAGACAAAGATGTCTGTGGTCACCACTACGATTTAGCACTATGCTGGAGACCCCGGTCAGTGCAATATGTCAAGAAAAACGCGTAACAGATTAGAATTAGAGAAATAAAACTCATTATTTGCATATCACAATATTGTGTAACTTGAAAATACAAAAAGCTTATTGCTAATTAGAATTTATAAGTGAAAGTCACTCAGTGTAAAGTCAATATACAAAATCAATTGTATTCGTACATACCAGCAACACATGACTAGAAAAGGAATTTTACAAAATCGATACGCTTCATTACAATTATGTGCCCATTACAATCCAAGTGCCCATCAACAGATGAATGGATTAACATGTATTTCCCTTGTTTTTTATTTTCTGTACTTCCCGAAGCTTTGACGTCTTGGGGTTTTGCTAACACTGGAGTGACTGCTCTTCCCAGGGTTAGCCAACTCCTACAGATAATAAAAGACTTGCTGGAATTATTCAAACTAACCAAAGCTAAACCTGCTGAACCTGCCTGGCTTTTCCTTCGGAAACCACAATAAAGGCTCTGCCTATGTTCCCTCCTCATAAGACAGGGTGGGGCCGGTGAGGTTGGAGAGAATGGATGAATGAGATCACAGTGCACATATTCTGGCGTTAGAACGACAAGAGTTGCTGCAGCACTAGACGTGAGGGAGGAAGCAATGATCATTAAGGGATCGAGTGGTACCATTTATTGAAATGGGTCAGAGTGAGGGAGGTTGGCAGATCAAGGGCTATGTGGATGGCTGAAGTCCAGGTAGTCTTCGATACATACCAGTGGAGGGGGTCAAGGCTGGCAATAAGTATAAGAGGACCACCTAGGTCAGAGTCAGAGGGACCCTAATGTCCAAAGGCCATACAGAGGAGGAAAATTACCAGTGGGGCCTGAGAGTGGAGTAGCTGGTGATTCAGGATGAGGCCCAGGACCACGTGATGTTATCGTAGCTGATCAGAGTGAGTTTCAGGTAGGAAGGAGTGATTAACTGCGTTGGGTGCTACTAAGAGGTCAAGTAAGGTAAAGTCAAGTATAGAAATATTTATGAAAATTGACCAGGTGCCAGGGAGTAATAGAGCCATGCCTCTGTTAAGACTGATCAAGAGTTAACAGCAACTGAGACAGAGACAGCATGTGTAGATGACTCTACTGAGAAGTGGGTTAAAGGGGAGAAGAGAAATGGGGTGGAAACTAGAAAAGAATCTTTTTTTGTTAAAGATGCGGGACACCAGAACATGTTTCAACAGGGAAGGAGGGAAGAGAAGCTAGATAGAAACGCAGAGAATGAATGAATGAATGAGACTGTTGGCTATTATGACAGAGAGGGAGTAACTTAACCCACCAGTCCCCATACTTTTTGGCACCAGGGACTGGTTTCGTGGAAGACAATTTTTCCATGGACCAGGGTGGGGAAAGGGGCAGATGGTTTCCAGATGATTCAAGTGCCTTACATTTATTGTACACTCTATTTCTGTTATTATTACATTGTAGTATATAATGAAATAATTATACGACTCACCATAATGCAGAATCAGTGGGAGCCCTGAGCTTGTTTTCCTGCAACTAGATGGTCCCGCCCTGCTGTGCAGCCCGGTTCCCTACCGGGGGTTAGGGACTCCTAGCCTAAGCCCTTTTGGTCTCAGGACCACGCCTCAGGATTCATTTACACTCCTGAAAAGTACTGAGGGTCCCCCAAAGCTTCTGCTTTTTTGTGAGTTATATCTATCACTATTTACCGTACTAGATAGTGAAACGGATAAAAAAATTTAGATACTTGTTCACTACTTCATTTAAAATAACAATAAACCCATCACATATTAACATTCTAATGAACAATTATGTTTTCCAAAACAAAAAGAATTAGTGAAAAGAAAGGCAGTTTATATTTTTACAAAATCTCTTTAAAATGTGTCTTAACAGAAGACGGCTGGATTCTCCTATCTTCTTTCGCATTCAATCTGTTGCAATGTCACACATCATGTAGCTTCTGGAAAACCCTACTGTACACTTACGAGAAAATAAGACTGAAAAATGCAAGTAACATCTTACTATGAAGATAGTTTTGACAATTATGGACTCTCTGAAAGGGTCTCAGGACACCCAGGGGTTCCCAGACCACACTTGGAGAACTGCTGACCTAAGCAGTGAAGTCCAGGAGATGGCAAATGGTGATGGGGTTTAGGACGCAAGGGGCGGAAGTAGCCTCTGTGAAAAGCAACCCTTCACCTTTTGGAACAAGAACAGAAGAGATGGGCGCCAAAGCAGTTGTGAGGCAACCATGTGTTCCCTTCCTCTTCTATTTTTCTGGCCACACTGTGAGGCATGTGGGATCTTAGTTCGCTGACCAGGGATTGAACCCGTGGCCCCTGAGTGGAAGTGCAGAGTCTTCACCACTGGACCACCAGGGAAGTCCCATCTGTTCCCTTCTTATGGACTGGTTTTCTCAGTGGGACCTGAGGTGAGGTCATTCACTCAGTGCAGGAGGTCTGAGGAGACAGAGGACATGAATTTACTCTCTTGGTGAGTAGGAAAACTCGCTTACCAGTGACGGACAGTCAGACTGCCAAGAGGGACCATAAAACATCCTTCTCTGGGGCACTCAGCAGGCCACCCTGTAACTTACCTGCTGACAGAAACGAGTGGTGGGGATTCCTCGGCAAGGCTGAGCCTCTGGGCCACTGCTTCTCTCCCACCGTGAGTGGTATGACGGTGATGAAGAGCAGGACGTGGGACCTAGCCTGCCTGGGTTCTAATCCTGGTCTGCCGTTGACTAGCTGTGTCCTTGGACCCTCTCTGTGCCTCAGTTTCCTATCTGTAAAACGGGAAAAACTATAGTACCTACCTCATAGGGCTGTTATGAAGATAAAAGATTAAATGACATGTAAAGTACTTAGCTGGGTGCCTGATAAGGGACGTGCTCCCGAAGGGCCAACGACAACTACTGTCATTGCCACTATTATTATCGAAATGACTTTCTGAGCTTCCACTCAGCCTGCGAGTGTGGGTAAGAATTGGCTTACCTGATGACTATCTACTTAACTATATACGTGTGGCCCCAAGCAGGCTGCGGATACAGGGGTTGGCGGAGCAACCTTGTCCTGCCTTCACCAGGTCTCCTGAAGGAGGCCAGCAGGACACAATCAGACACACCAATTAATGCAACAATCACAATCGCCCTAAGTGCTAACATGTAGAAAGGGCGTAGCACGCGGTTGCGGCTTTAGATACATTCCTCCCTTCATCCTGATACCAGGCCCTGAGTGGGTAAGCTCGGTTTTTACAGGTGAGGAGTCTGCTTCGCAGCAAGGGACTGGCTCCCGTGTGGCCACGCGGCTCGAATTGGTTCTGTGAGACCCGTCCGACAGCTCCCGCGAAGGCCACGTTAACAGAAACGCGCTTTCACGACGCCGGCCACCAGAACTCCGACCGACTTCCCGCGCCTGGGGGGGAGAGGATTTCCGGCGGAAGTTCCTTCTGAGGGGGCGGAGCCACCGGCAGGCCTGGGCACACCCCTCCGCCCCCAATTCCGTAGTCGACTTGTCCAATAGGAGCTCCGCTTCTTGCCAGGTGCGGAAACTTGTTCTCCAATCAGCGAGGGCCATCGTCGCTCGGGCAACAGCGTCCCAGAGACGCCGAGTGGGCTGGGCTTCTGCGGCCTCGGGCCCTGGGGTCCGCGCTTAGAAGTGCGTCGGCGCTCAGAAGGGGCCCCGCGAGGCGGAGGGTTGAGAAGGGGCCGGGGTAAGACGGCGCGGCGCCGAGTGCGCGCGAGCCCGGGGGGGCTGACGAGGGCCCGGGCGGGCAGCTCTGGCAGTCCCACAGCCCCGGGACGCGGAGCGTCCCCTCCCCGTCCGTGGCATAGGGCTGGTGACCCGTTTACTCGTTCCACGCATGTGTGTGGCGCGCCTGCCTGTGGCAGGAGCCGTTGTCGGCCCTGGGGCTACTGCAGTGGATAGTACCGTCTTATTTGTGTGGGGGAAACCGACTCTAAGCAACGAGGAAGATGGCGAACCTGCCTCCCTGCATCTCTGAGGGTTACATCGCTCCAATTTACAAAATGCTTCATGTCCCTTATTTCATCTGTCCCCACAGCAGTCTTTCGAATATTTTAAACTCCGCCTTATAGATGAGGACTTGAATTCCACGGGGTGAAGGGGGTTGTCCCCAAATCACACAACCGGAAGTTGCAGAGCCAGAATTCAAACTCAGCACTTATGTCGCATGTCAGAATCTCTGGTCTTTCTGGAACATTCTTCTTCCTCAGGCCGCACGAGTTATCCCTGCCTCTCTCAGAAATGTTGTTTGGAAGCACTCTGAAATTTCAGAGGTTCTTTAAGACTGTTGGTTAAATCACCCCATACTTCCTTTTCCTTCTCTCGAAAATCTTTACCTTTCAGGATGCCTTGCCCCTGTTAAGAGGACTCTTACTTCACTTTCAAGAGGAGTAATTTAATAATGTTTCTTAAGTTGTATGTGCCCCTAAATGAGTAGACTTACAGAAATGCTGTAAAGACTTTTTTTTGACTTTCACATACTGCTGTTCCTTCATCTCTTTCTTTTATCCGCTGTCTTCAATTCAGCATTTACTTGGCTAAGTTCTGGGGAATCGAAAGTGAATCAGGCAAGGATTTTGATTTTCTGTGGACGCATTTGTCTCCCACTCAGCCTTACTGGAAGCTTTAGGAGGGCAAGGATTTATTTCAGCTACCTGTGCTCTCCCTTTCCCTATGCCATCAGTTTAGTTGTTGGCTCATGGCAGGTGCTTGTAGATATTTGTCAAGAAATGCTTACATGAGACTTTAAATTTGCTGTCCATTTTGTCTTCCGTTTCCCTGACCTTTTCCAGCTGTCCACCTCTTCCTGTGCAGAGATCTCTACAGCGCCCACGCTGTGACCCCTGCAGCTGAGTGGCACATGGAGACAGAACCAGCTCCAGGAGGATGCTCAGGAGTCTGGCGCCCGCCCAGAGCAGGAATCCAGCGGGAGGCCATTGGCTGTTAACCAGACAGTCGCTTTAATAAAGCCTCTTTACAGGTATCGAGTGAATGTTTAAGGTTAGTAGATGATGCTGGTCACTGAAGTTTTTCTTGGATGACTCTTTCCCCTGCCAGGATTGACAAACAAGCTGTACGGTACAGATGAGAAGGTGTGAGTGAGGCAAGAAGCTAACAGTTGCTTCCTTCCTTTAAATACCACTAGTGAGCTGACCTTTTTTGTACAGCATACTTATCTAAGAATACCCCAGGTCTAGGCTTGTGCAACTATGTAGGTCGAATACTTGTTAAATATTAATTCACCTTCAACGCACTGCTATCTAGGATATCCACGCCATTTAGGAGAGGAGATGCAAAGGGAGGGAGCATTTGAGAAAACTCTGTGAATGAATAACATATGAACACGAAGCGCTTCGAGCACGAAAGAGCCTCGTTTTCCACTTTTTTCTCGGGTTTCAATCTTGTACTGCTCTTTTGTTTAATTTGTTTCAGGCGCCATTGTTATCTTTTCATCTGTTTTTCTGCAGTTTTACTGTCTCTACTACTACTGCTCCGCCTGGCTAATACTTACTGAGCACTTACCATGTTCCAGGCACAGTTTGGGACCTCACATTACCTTTTTAATTTAGTGCTCACTTCCTGCATATGAAAAATATAGTTATTATTTCCATTTCATAGATGAGGCAGCAGGGATGCAGAGAAGCTAAGGGACAACAAAGCTGATAGATGGTGACGTGAGGCTTCTGCGTCAGGACTGCCTGGTGACGGAGGCTGTGTTCTTATTTTTGTTTTTGTTTTTTGGGCCCTCCGTGCGGCCTGCGGGATCTTAGTTCCCTGACCAGGGATTGAACCCGGGCCCTCGGCAGTGAAAGTGCAGAGTCCTAACCACCAACCTCCAGGGAATTCCCAGAGCCTGTGTTCTTGACCAGTGCTCTTACACTCTCAGATATGTGTGTACTCCAGAAGTCTCACTGGGCTTCGAGGTGACTTCTAAAAATATAGACAATACGGTAAAATAGGAAAGTAACTTCAGGAGGAAAGAGGGTACTCAGATCATCTGTGATGGTTAACACAGTTGGGCTGCAAATTTAGCTGTGAGCTTCTTTTTTTTTTCATTGAATGAAAGATTCTTTAAATTCTGTAGTGCTTTATAGTTTTCAAAAGTTTCACACACATGAGTTCATATAATCCCATAATAACCCCTTTTTTCCCCTCGCCTCTATATTGCCCCTCCCCCCTTCCCTCTCCCCACTGGTAACCGCTAGTTTGTTCTCTATATTTGTGAGTCTGCTTCATTTTTGTTTTATTAGCTGTGAGCTTCTTGAACCCAGGAGAAGAAAATTAAAAAGAAAAAAAAAAAAGAAAGCAATTGAATTCATTTTGTCCAGGCAAATAAGGCATTTTAGTTCCTTTGGAAAAAAAAGAAAGCATTTCTAATGCCTCCATCTAAAGGACATTTCTCCTGGGGTTCATAACCAAGCCCTGGGTGGCCGGGTTTACTACAGGGTGACCAGGCTGTAGGCTCAGTGTGTCCTCACTGTTAAGGGAGAGAATGTGGATGATTGTATTTGCGTAGGAGTTTTGAAATGAAAATTTTTTGACTAGTAGTGGTTTTCAGGAACACCTTCTGAATTGTGTTTTTTCTCCTGGGAATTTGTAAATGGTCTTATCCTGGACCCTGGGTTGGTCCCAGTCATTTGTTTACTTCACAGTTACTTATGGAGCACTTGCTGTATGCCAGGCCCTGTCTAGGCATTGAGGACACTGCGGTGATGGTCAGGTCACTGTCCTGATATGCCCGGTGCCTCCACCCTGTTGTTTTCTCCCGCTCGAGTGTTTCTGGACAGACTTTGGTTTGCCTTTCTTCCTCGTCCTATGAAACCCGGGGACGACCCTCAACACCTTATACCGTAACGGTCTCCCTGCCTTTGACCTGGGCTCTGGCTGATTCACGTTTCTGTGCCTTCCCAGGACCTAAAGTTAAGGACAACCGTCCAGGAGTGAGCACAGCCTGCTGTGTGTCAGGCTCTTTAGATACGTTATCTGAGTCCTGTCACAGCCTTCGGAGTGTGGCACTGAACCGTCGTGGGCCACTTGCCCCTTGAGAACCTGGTGGAAGCCATGTATCCTCTCTCTAGAAAAGTCACCTCACACACACTTTGGCATTTAACCTCTGAGAGTTTGAAGATCTAAAAATGCACACATGTGTACCTTGTCCCTAGATTCCAGGTTATGAATAACGTGCTTTAAAGAGAGAGATTATCTCCATTTTGCAGTTGAGGAAACTGGGTCAGGAGGAGGCTAATTAACTTGCAGCTTTGCCTGGTAGATAGTAGGACCAGTTGGACTCTGTGTCTTCTTGACTCCAAACCCTTTATTTTTGCCACTGTCCAAAAGTAGAGGTGCTCAGTAAATGAGGGAGTGAGTGTACGGAAGGTCTAAAAAGGGAGCTTTAAAGTGTATGTGCCCCAGAATCTGACAAACATCCATTTGATATCAGAATAGACAAGGAGAAGATTTTTCTCAAGTATTTGGATTTAACTGCCAACATTTTTTGTGTTGCTTGCAACTTTTCCCAGTTTTGTCAAGTGATAATTTTCCCCCCATGATACCAGTTCCAACAGTTTTTGCTTCTGATGCCATTTCTGTTTGGCTGTGCACATTTCTTACTGTCATGTTGAATTATGTTTTCTCTGGATGCCAAGGCAGATGGATAGCACTTTTGTTATGATTCTGATATAAATAGCATCTGTTAGAGACTGGACATCAATACTTATCTGGCAAGTAAAACAAATATACCAGTGGAATAGCCTTCTGATCATGTTTTTGCCTGTGGCCAATAAGTGCATCTGACGGTCTGTGACTCGGTGCTTGTTTGGGGGGCATTGGTTTTATTATCCGTGCTATTTTCTACCTTACCATACAAGTTTTGATATAATCGTATTTATTAATTCTCTTTATGTAGAAAACCTAAACTGAAGATGGTGCAAAGCCAGGGGTGACCTAAAGGGCTCATCACAGGGCCTCGCTCATACTCAGAACATTGCTTGGCTTTCGAGATCAAGGGTAAAATTAACCCACGCTCCTTACCCTTGCACTGTTAGGTGTTGATAACTGGGGTCCATTGAGAACAAAGGTTAACAGAGTGCTTCCTGCGTGCCAGGCCCCATGGCAGGTGCTGAGTACAGGAAGATGAGTGCAGGTGATTCTCTCCACTGGAAGAGCTCACTGACTAACTAGCAGGGCGCACAGATAAACAGCCAAGAGAAAAGTCTGGAAGCAGAGAATCAAAGTGAAGATAGATGTGGGACTAGAGGGATGGACTGGGAGGTATTAATACTTTATTCTTGACGTGCCCTGGCCCCTAGCAAGGTAATGGAAATATGGATGCCTTTGACCTTTTTGTCCTTTTCTTTTTTTAAAAAAAAAAATATTTATTTATTTGGCTGTGCTGGGTCTTAGTTGCGGCATGCAGGATCTTTAGTTGCAGCATGCGGGCTCCTTTAGTTGCGGCATGCGGAATCCAGTTCCCTGATCAGGGATCGAACCTGGCCCCCCTGCATTGGGAGCATGGAGTCTCAACCACTGGACCACCAGGGAAGTCCCTGTCCTTTTCTTTATTAAATAAAACAATTGGCAAAGCAAAACTATAAGACCAAGTTGTCTGTAAAGGCATGATTAGTTTTTTAAAATTTTTATTTATTGAATTTTATTATTTTTAGTTGAAGTGTAGTTGATTAACAATGTTGTGTTAGTTTCAGGTGTACAGCAAAGTGACTCAATTACACATATGTATGTATATTCTTTTTCAGATTCTTTTTTTAAAAATAAATTTATTTATTTTTGGCCACGTTGGGTCTTCGTTGCTGCGTGCGGGCTTTCTCTAGTTGCGGCAAGCAGTGGCTACTCTTCGTTGCAGTGCGCAGACTTCTCATTGCAGTGGCTTCTCTTGTTGCGGAGCACGAGCTCTAGGTGTGCAGACTTCGGTAGTTGTGGCACGTGGGCTCAGTAGTTGTGGCGCACAGGCTTAGTTGCTCCTCAGCATGTGGGATCTTCCCAGACCAGGGCTCGAGCCCACGTCTCCTGCGTTGGCAGGTGATTTTTTTTTTTTTTTTTGCAGTACGCGGGCCTCTCACTGCTGTGGCCTCTCCCGTTGCGGAGCACAGGCTCTGGACACACAGGCTCAGTGGCCATGGCTCACGGGTCCAGCCGCTCCGTGGCATGTGGGACCCTCCCGGACCAGGGCACGAACCCGTGTCCCCTGCATCAGCAGGCAGACTCTCAACCACTGCACCACCAGGGAAGGCCCAGCAGGTGGATTCTTAACCACTGTGCCACCAGGGAAGTCCCCAGATTCTTTTCTGTTACAGGTTATTACAAGATATTGAATATAGTTCCCTGTGCTATACAGTAGGAACTTGTTGTTTATTTTATATATAGTAGTTTGTATTTGCTAATCCCAAACTCCTAATTTATCCCTCCCCCATTTCCCCTTTGGTAACCATAAGTTTGTTTTTTATGTCTGTTTTGAGTCTATTTCTGTTTTGTAAATAAGTTTATTTGTGTCATTTTTTAAAGATTCCACATGAAAGTGATGTCATATGCTATTTGTCTTCCTCTGTCTGACTTACTTCACTTAGTATGATCATCTCTAGGTCCCTCCATGTTGCTGCAAATGGCATAATTTCATTCTTTTTTATGGCTGAGTAGTATTCCACTGTATAAATGTATGTGCCACATCTTCTTTATCCATTCATCTGTCGATGGGCATTTAGGTTGTTGTAAATAGTGCAGCAGTAAACATTGGGGTGCATGTATCTCTTTGAATTAGAGTTTTCGCCTTTTCCAGATATAAGGCATGATTAGTTTTAAGGAGGATAGGAAGGCCTCATGAAGGAGGGGCTCTACCCTTAGTCTTGAAAGATGAATTGGAGTGTGGTGGCAGAGGAGGAAAAAGCATGAACCCATACTCAGAGGTGAGGGACTACATGGTATATTCATTCAGATTCTGTGTAAAAATGCAGCAGGCATGGAGCTGTGGTGTCTGGAAGAGACTCCCG